TATTTATAAATGTATTTATGGAGCTAGTGATATTAAATATTGGGAAAGTTGAATGTGAATTATGTTATGTAATAGAAGAATGAAACTAGAGTCTCTATATCCTAGGACTGTATATAAAGTTTTTGAGATGTTTTGGCAATGAACTATATATTTATGACAGTATTTAAATCGAGCTTCTAGATAAGGATAGATTGAAAAAAACTGGACCACAGTTAAATAATTACCCGGATATTGGATTAGAATTTAGTGATAAATTCTGCCGCACCATCAGTATGACAGGATTGTAATGGACTGGTGTGGTTTTAGAAATATGTTCAATGAATAGTCAAAGATGGTAATGTTAAGGAAAAGAAAGAAGAAAGATTTCATGTAAGAATATTTAGAAATAATTGTCCAGGGTTCCACTTCGTCAAAGCCTACATTTGACTGTGGCATTCAAAGACTTGATGTTAGACGAGTCTTAATTATTCCTTAATCAGATTGAACCTAGGGTGATGATGATGTTATTTACTAATCAGATTGAACCTAGGGTGATGATGATGTTATTTACTAATCAGACTGAACCTAGGGTGATGATGATGTTATTTACTAATAAGATTGAACCTAGGGTGATGATGATGTTATTTACTAATCAGATTGAACCTAGGGTGATGATGATGTAATTTACTAATCAGATTGAACCTAGGGTGATGATGATGTTATTTACTAATCAGATTGAACCTAGGGTGATGATGATGTTATTTACTAATCAGACTGAACCCAGGGTGATGATGATGTTATTTACTAATCAGATTGAACCTAGGGTGATGATGATGTTATTTACTAATCAGACTGAACCTAGGGTGATGATGATGTTATTTACTAATCAGACTGAACCTAGGGTGATGATGATGTTATTTACTAATCAGACTGAACCTAGGGTGATGATGATGTTATTTACTAATCAGATTGAACCTAGGGTGATGATGATGTTATTTACTAATCAGACTGAACCTAGGGTGATGATGATGTTATTTACTAATCAGATTGAACCTAGGGTGATGATGATGTTATTTACTAATCAGACTGAACCTAGGGTGATGATGATGTTATTTACTAATCAGATTGAACCTAGGGTGATGGTGATGTTATTTACTAATCAGATTAAACCTAGGGTGATGGTGATGTTATTTACTAATCAGATTGAACCTAGGGTGATGATGATGTAATTTACTAATCAGATTGAACCTAGGGTGATGATGATGTTATTTACTAATCAGATTGAACCTAGGGTGATGATGATGTTATTTACTAATCAGATTGCACCTAGGGTGATGATGATGTTATTTACTAATCAGATTGAACCTAGGGTGATGATGATGTTATTTACTAATCAGATTGAACCTAGGGTGATGATGATGTTATTTACTAATCAGACTGAACCTAGGGTGATGATGTTATTTACTAATCAGATTGAACCTAGGGTGATGATGATGTTATTTACTAATCAGATTGAACCTAGGGTGATGATGATGTAATTTACTAATCAGATTGAACCTAGGGTGATGATGATGTCATTTACTAATCAGACTGAACCTAGGGTGATGATGATGTAATTTACTAATCAGACTGAACCTAGGGTGATGATGATGTAATTTACTAATCAGATTGAACCTAGGGTGATGATGATGTAATTTACTAATCAGACTGAACCTAGGGTGATGATGATGTAATTTACTAATCAGATTGAACCTAGGGTGATGATGATGTAATTTACTAATCAGATTGAACCTAGGGTGATGATGATGTAATTTACTAATCAGATTGAACCTAGGGTGATGATGATGTAATTTACTAATCAGATTGAACCTAGGGTGATGATGATGTTATTTACAGAATTTTCAGGTTTAGTACAAATTGTTCTCAAGGTGCCAAATTACAGTTGAACTGTTGTACCTAATCCTCCATTGATCCACATTATCAGCCAGTTAGCTGCACGGGTAATTTCATAAGGTGTCCAATATGTCAAAATACCAAAATATACCAGTTAGCAGGACACGGTGATGGTAATTATGTATTATAAAGATAATAGTCGAGTTAGAGTTCACCATTCTTTCTTTTCTCCAGTTAATTCGTCACTTGAGTTAATTATAATCACGATATTTAGAGAGTAAAATTCCTGTGATATGTAACTTTGATTCTTGTCTAATGGTTGTATCTTGGTTTTACCTTGTTGTATACTGCATAGTGTTATTAGATTGAACAATGAAAGAAATATCAATTAAAACCTTGAGAAGAACTAGTTGTATAATACACAATGGGTAATTCTTTATGATAATATATATTATTATGTATCATATACATTCAAACAAGCAGTGTATAGACCACCATCATTATCCGTCATCTTAATATATCAAACGACTAAAATATCATTGTCAACTCATACAGTACACGGGGGCGGACTGTTTAAATTCTCTAGTCTGTTGAAATCATTAGAATTTGTCAAACGATGTGTTTGTGTAAGTTGGAATGTTGATACAATACATGACTTGTGAGTTTACCAGGCTCCCACAATAAATTTAAGACGTTTTTAGGTCATTTTGCTGACAAATAAGATACACAGTGTTAATTTTGATAGTCACTAAAATCGCTTTAAAGCCGCAAGTTTCGTAATGAAAGGAACTATATTAATAGTAATAATAAATAGTAATATATTAGATATGTGGATCGCATAAACGGTGTCCCAAAACTACCTCATTGAGATCTATGTCCTACTGTTCTGAACTTTATAGAGATTTATGTCCTACTGTTCTGCATCTCTTTAAGTTTTATGTCCTACTGCTCTGAACTTTATTGAGTTTTATGTCCTTCTAGTCTGTACATCATTGAGTTTTATGTCCTACTGTTTTGAAGACATTGTGTGCTATGCCCTCTCATTTTACACTCAGTGTGTCGTTATGTTATACTGACGACAGAAAACTTACGGAAAGTAAATAGTAAAACTGTCGCCTGAATGTAAAATGATGTAGCCCACTCTGTACTACTTGTAATGAAGATTGTCAATAGAGGTAAAGAGTGGGTGAGAGAGTCAACACAAACCCACTGTTTTACTTACTAAATACTACCTAGTAGATTGTTAAATTAACCAGAGTAATATTTCCTATTGCTCAACATCTTTCTTTTTAGTTTCAACACTACTTGAAGAGGATGTACCGAGTTCTATCAATGTTTAACTTGTCAGAATTGGCAGTAATAAACCATCTAAATTGATGTCGTAAACATTCTGAATATCACAGAACTATGAGGGATATTTCGAATGTTACTGTCGAAAGTAAAATCTTAATGGAGCTCAGAGAAACAGCTTATTCAATCTGATTGGTTAATTTGATCCACTCTAGCCCAGCACATTTTAGAGAATCAAACCCCTCCCTTCCCCAAAATATAATTGCTCCTTATAAACATGTTTAGGATGGAACATCTCTTTCTATAAATATGACTTGAAGGAAATTGTTTATTTTAATATTATCTAAACCTCACAATGATAACATGTAATTAAAGTTAAATAATAAGATAACTAGTAGCGACTCAGTTGACAGTCAGTCAGTCAGTCAGTCAGTCAGTCAGTCAGTCAGTCAGACAGTCAGTCAGTCAGGTTTAATATAGAACAGATAAATAATGTCAAATAATCACAGTTAAATTCTTAATAATACTACATGGTGAAAACTGATTTTTACAAAACCATTATTTATATCACGGTACTAGTTTCATCATTACAGACAATAACAGACAGTCATCATTCACATTTCTATCAATATACAGACAATAACAGACAGTCATCATTCACATTTCTATCAATATACAGACAATAACAGACAGTCATCATTCACATTTCTATCAATATACAGACAATAACAGACAGTCATCATTCACATTTCTATCAATATACAGACAATAACAGACAGTCATCATTCACATTTCTATCAATATACAGACAATAACAGACAGTCATCATTCACATTTCTATCAATATACAGACAATAACAGACAGTCATCATTCACATTTCTATCCATATACAGACAATAACAGACAGTCATCATTCACATTTCTATCAATATACAGACAATAACAGACAGTCATCATTCACATTTCTATCAATATACAGACAATAACAGACAGTCATCATTCACATTTCTATCAATATACAGACAATAACAGACAGTCATCATTCACATTTCTATCAATATACAGACAATAACAGACAGTCATCATTCACATTTCTATCCATATACAGACAATAACAGACAGTCATCATTCACATTTCTATCAATATACAGACAATAACAGACAGTCATCATTCACATTTCTATCCATATACAGACAATAACAGACAGTCATCATTCACATTTCTATCAATATACAGACAATAACAGACAGTCATCATTCACATTTCTATCAATATACAGACAATAACAGACAGTCATCATTCACATTTCTATCAATATACAGACAATAACAGAGTTTTTTTTACTTGATAACGTTACCTGTATGTAGTATATCCACATATCTTAGCGTTTTACAATAACCAAGTCATCATTCATTGATTTAAATTTGAAAGTGATTTAAAGTGATTTAAAGTGATTTAAAGTGATTTAAAGTGACAATCCCCCACCCCACCAACATTAATTTATCTCAATCTTTATTTCAGATCAAACAGAGGTGCCTCGAAACAGAGACGAGATCAGATCAATTCAGAGATTGGTACGATGAGAGACTTACTTCCGCTGGCGGAATCAGCTAGACAGCGACTTTCACAACTTCAAATCATGTCGCTGAGCTGTGTTTATATTAGAAAATGTAACATCTTACAAAAATGTGAGTAGAATTTGATTTAATGTTTATTATTTATCGTGATAATGTTATCTTATGTGTTTTTAAAGTATAATATCTATATATCTTAGTGTTTAAATAGAATTCACTAAACTAACACTATAAAGAAAAAGAAAATTAAATAATACTATCATCTCCAATATTTGATTCTGTACTCAATTTGTCAGAAAGGGGAGAATTGTCGCCTATTTTCAAACTTTAAGACGATGTTCTGGTGATACTTACTGGTAAATTTAAACTAAGTGTCCTGAAACTTTGATATTTAAAACCACACAGTGTTAATTGAGTTATGGTTGTCGAGGCAGGTTTAAATGGCACCACAGTTTGTGGTTTTAGGAATATAATAGTCTGAATATTTCAGTTTTCTGGTTATCTTGTTATTTGTTTAATTGACGTCAGTTCCAAGATATTCTTAATATATTTATATTCTATACTATTGTTTCATCCAATCTATAAGTGCTATTTACAAATTGTGAGTACGATGTATAGATAGTTTTATTCAACGTTTCGACGTGTTTCTCATGTCGTCCACAGTCAAAGAAAGTTGTATAAAACTTTAACTCGTCATCATTTGTTGTTCCATGAAGCTGTGTCTATATAACTATGGCACCATTGGTCATAAAAACTGATCAAGCAAATATCTAGACGCCATATCCCATTAGACCATGAATAAAATAATGTTTAACCAGAATGTTTAAGGTTGGGAACAAGGAAAACGTGATGGGTTGAAATTCTATAATACTAGAATGACATTCACAAGACTTGAATTACATGGTTTAAACTATAGCAGAAGTCATTAGAACTTTGAATCTGATTCCAATTCCGACATTTAAACTCCAGGAATTACAGACCAACATTCTTAACATTTGACTGAAATTCTCTGGCTATTCGATATTCTATATAGATATTGTTTTTATTTTAACATAAAGTTTATGTTGCAAGAGTTGACATTTACTGTACAGAGAGTCGATTGAGTCTGTAAAATAAATTAAATTTAAAGTTAGCTGAAATATAAGACGGCATTAAACAGTAGGAATATTATTTCTATCAATTGTAGTAATACAATAATATATTACTATTACTCTATTACTATTACTCTATTACTATTACTCTATTACTATTACTCTATTACTATTAATCTATTACTATTACTCTATTACTATTACTCTATTACTCTATTATTATTACTCTATTACTATTACTCTATTACTATTACTCTATTACTCTATTACTATTACTCTATTACTATTACTCTATTACTATTACTCTATTATTATTACTCTATTACTATTACTCTATTACTCTATTATTATTACTATTACTCTATTAATATTGCTATTTACATTTATTAATCTTAATCGGTTCAGTCGACAACAAGACTAGTTTTACTCTGAATACCCTCTGAGCTCTTATGAATTTTGTCGAGTTCAAAATAAGTGACAAATCGCTGTTCGAACTATTTTGTTTTAGTAAAAGCGTCTAGTCTAGAATTTGGTACTTACCAGAGATCTCTTGTGCTATTTATAGATCGCTGAACATTGTATATGTAAAATAATAATACGTTGCCTAATCAGAGGCAGAAAAAAATGACGTAAAAATCTATTTATATCATTTCATTCTTTAAAAAAAAAACTTTGCGACGTCATAACCACTACGAATATAAATACATGTAAACAAACTTCCGCATGTCATTCAACGAAGTCATAATAGGGACATTGAGATGTATATCAGGTTTCTGTGAAAGTTTTATTACAGATTTTAAAAAAAAAACATCTAGCCACGATCCCCTGATGTAAATCTTGGTGAAGCAGAACCGGTTTCTAGGAGTTATCATGATAAATGATTTCTAGATATAAAAGAAACATTCAGCCATGATGTTAAAAAGACACATTCAGCCATGATGTTAAAAAGACACATTCAGTCATGATGTTAAAAAGAAACATTCAGCCATAATGTTAAAAAGACACATTCAGCCATGATGTTAAAAAGACACATTCAGCCATAATGTTAAAAAGAAACATTCAGCCATGATGTTAAAAAGACACATTCAGCCATGATGTTAAAAAGCCGTCAAGTTAAAAAGATATGTTTAAAATAGAAACAAGAAAATACATAATTACTTTACAATCAGAATAAAATAACAGGGGGAAGGTCAGACACGATTACTGAGTACAACATTCTCACCAAATTCTCAACTATGAGTTTTACATCCTATTGTTCTTCATCCGATTGGGTTAATTCGGTTCGTTGCTGTAACCCTGCTGTAGGTTGATAATAAGGGTACTGGAACTAACTATGATCACGTGGTGATAATTTGAAACTGAAACTCACAATGTTGTATAAAGTTGTGAAAGATGATCGTTTGATTTTAATCTTCAAAAGAATTTCTAATTGAGCTTCAGAGTTTATCTATCTTAAATAAATATTGGTCATAAAGTCTGTGTATTGCTGTTATCAGTTGGTAATCTCAAAGTTTTTATTCTTCATTGCTCATTACAGTGGTATTATAAAGGTAACAGGACAGTTTAATATCAATTTAATTTCTCTAGTTCTTCTTCTATGTTTTATTGTTTAATATTTACCACAGTAGTATAAAAACTGTGCCTCTTTCTAAACGGTGGATTTCCTCTAGTTCTTGTTCTATGTTTTATTGTTTAATATTTACCCCAGTAGTATAAAAACTGTGCCTCTTTCTAAATTTTGGATTTCCTCTAGTTCTGATCCAATATTTTATTGCCATTATTAAATGTATGGAAGAGAGTTTCCTTCTATATTCTATAAATAGATTTCCCAGTACAAGAGTTAAAAATAACAACATCATACGATATACAGTGGAACATATTGTCTTAATAAAATACACGGTCAAATTTCAAACAGAATAAATATTATATGTGCAACTTTTCATGTGCGTTTGTTTATGTTTCACCAATCTATTTATAACTTGGAATCTGATTGGTTGATATAAATAGAGTATCAGGAGAGGGGGGAATGGTTCGATTTGGCGCCAATTTTCAGGTTAAGAAAACAATCAGTATAAAGATTAGTCATACCCAGGGTTTCTATGGTGCAATACTTCTTTTATACAAATATATCACGTTATAGTCTGGTATAATCATATACACTTACATAAACTTTTATGAATATTGAAATATTGCAGGATAAATTTATATTTTTTGTTATAAACATCCGGTAATTCTCTGAATGGAATATAAATTTAAATATTAACTAGTACTGGTGGTCGAATATATGATATAGTCTGATATCCTCGGTAATATAGAAACATTAGATATTTAGCTATAACAATTCTTACCATTAAGTTTTGACCTGACCTACTTTGAAATATTAATATTCAAGAATTGAAGTACGAGTTATTTCCCTTTAAAACGAAAACGCAACTAACCCAAGGCCCAAAGGTTATCCCCTTGCATTATAATTTTTGTGTCGTGTCGTGTCGTGTCGTGTGGTTGGAATCAGCAACGGTGTGTGGAAGTTGAGCCACGGTGTGGACACATGAACCTTGAACTCCCTGAGCATCACCCTACAGACACCACAATCAGATTGACATTTAGTCTCGGTTATTACAACTCGACATCATTATAAAAGACCGTAATAAACATAGTTTGGAAACACAATGGAGGTTAATCGAATTCTATTTAGTTCTATAATTACTTCAGTTTATAAAGCCGAGATTACACCATCATTTGTAGATCATTATATTTCTAAAATACCATAGATATATTGTTACATAGAATGGAAGGGTTGGGCTGGTACTGTGGTAGGGTGAAAGTGGAAAAGGTTGGGCTGGTAGAGGTGAAAGTGGAAGGGGTTGGGCTGGTAGAGGTGAAAGTGGCAGTGTCGGGCTGGTAGAGGTGAAAGTGGAAGAGGTTGGGCTGGTAGAGGTGAAAGTAGAAGGGGTTGGGCTGGTAGAGGTGAAAGTGAAAGGGGTTGGGCTGGTAGAGGTGAAAGTGGCAGGGTCGGGCTGGTAGAGGTGAAAGTGGAAGAGGTTGGGCTGGTAGAGGTGAAAGTAGAAGGGGTTGGGCTGGTAGAGGTGAAAGTGAAAGGGGTTGGGCTGGTAGAGGTGAAAGTGGCAGGGTCGGGCTGGTAGAGGTGAAAGTGGCAGGGTCGGGCTGGTAGAGGTGAAAGTGGAAGGGGTTTGACATGAAAATCTGGTTTCACTTAAATCGCTATTATAATTGGGTATTTCATTCTAAGGATACGGGAAAGTACGTCGCTGCACCCACGAATATTCCATATTTCCCACCTTGTCTGGCATGAGCCCTGTATGACGTATTCATGACGTTTTAAACTTAAATAAAAGTTTTCAACTGTCTGGGAATATTATATGATTATATTATATTTATCATGACGTTAAGGGCAGACATAAAAAATATAACATTACTAGACGGGATTGATTAGTCATTGCGTCATATTGATGATGATAATAATAATAATAATTTGTACATAATGATGATGATGATGATGATGATGATGATGATGATGATAATGATGATGATAATAATGATGATGATAATAATGATGATGATAATAATGATGATGATAATAATGATGATGATGATAATGATAATGATAATAATGATGATGATGATAATAATGATGATGATAATAATGATGATGATAATAATGATGATGATGATAATGATGATGATAATAATGATGAT